GTTTTAATTAGAGTTGTATATATCTTAATTCATTAATAAAGCAAATAGGGACATTGGCATGTTTGTCAAAATCAGTCAAATACATATGAAAGTAATTTCTAAGGATAAGTCTCATTTTTACCTACTTCCTCCCCCAACAGTTCATTTGCACAAATAAATTTCTCTAACATTTCTGTAGAACTGGAATTTAGTTTTCATGTCATAAGCTCTGAGCCCATTGTAAAATGATTTACCCTTCTATGGCACCAACCAGAGCTACAGAGCTAAAAAAAAAAAAAAAAAAATGCTTTTAAGGATGATGATGCTTTCAAAGTATCAGTGCAATAAAAAATAATTAACCACACTAAATTACAGCGTGTAAAACAGACTCTGATGAATTTTGATCTCATACTATTGTACATTATTTGCTGCACTCCCGCTTGAAATATGGTAGCAGACTCTGACCTTTAAGCGCCCTCAGTGCAGATGTCCATATGCCAACAGTGTACAGAGAATGATTGCGCGGGCGCTAGCCATCCTTAAGGGTTGCTGTACCTAGAAAAAGAAATTCTCACCAATATGGCCCAAATTATTACAGCTTTATGATTTTAATTGGAAATACAAAGCATTCATCTGACTTCAAAAGGTTGCCTGAGTCTGTTTTAGTGCCTCTTTAAATTATTTGCTGTGTAAAATGCATAACTATAATTATCTTGTATTTTATGATCACTTGCCTGAGAATTCTATATGTGAGATTATTTGGTCAAGAGATTTTTCTTGGGATGTGCTTGTCTTATTTTTTTCTCACTGAATTCTCCTGTCACCTTTCTAGTTCTATAGTTCTTTATCTGTAGCTAATAACTCTTCATAAGAATGACTAAAGAACTACACAATGCTAGTCAAGTACAGCACATACTTATGTTTTATTCTATGTCATGACATTTTGATAGCAACAGTAATAATAATGAATAACATTACACTAAATTTTTAGAACACATTTAATACATAAGGTGATTTAGCCCAGTTTAAAGTATCTTCTGACTTATGCATGTACATATAGACATAACATGTATAGAACAGAAATGCGAACCCTTGTGCACACACACATTTCCTTCTATATTTTATATTTAGCCTCTTTGAGAAAGGACATCATAGGTATTCTATATTTGCAATAATATCCAATAATCTCTAGACTATGAAACTATGAATAATTTAACAAACTAATATTACAGGGAAGTAATTGCAGGGGGATTCTAGTAAGCTAAATTTAATTCAAACTTGGCAGTTCAAAGATAAAATCTCTTGCTTCCATGAAAAGTATAAATAGAATTATTTGTGTTGACAGGTGCTTTGGGTCTACCTGGCACTTCATCTCAAAGACTGAGATGCCCTAGAGGTATCAGGAAGCCAATGTATCACAAAATCATAGTAGTCTTTATAGCTACTTTATCTCTAGAGGGTTAACAATATTAACTCTCCCACATGTATAAGTCTTTCTTTCAGATGCACCTGGGAGCCATTATATTCCCACCTGAAGAGGAAAGTTGATGAATATGGCAAACTTATTTCTAAAATCATTGTGATTGTGGCTCCTAATGCCTTCCAAATGGTTACCACTCATTCTGCCCTCAGTCTGTGGATTGCTCTCTTGCTCTTTTACCTACTGTGCTAATTCTTGTCAAATGTCTTATTGCCCTATGTTTCTGGGAAGTCCTGTCATGGCTTATTTTGGATATCGAGCTGTCACTAAAAGACCCAATCCATAAATTTGCAAATACTTTAAAAAACAACTCTGTTGTATGGTCATCACGGGTAAGGAAAAGGCATTTCTTAGGGACTTTTACAAATCATGGGGTACAAACAGTTCTTCATTTCTCTTGAAAGAGAAGGAAGAAATGTTTTCTCCTGTAGTTACATCCATAAACTCATAAAAACATAGAATTTGTGCTTGTTTCTCTTCAAGTAAGAGCATGACATTCAAGCTCAAATCTATGTTCCCTAAACATTGAAGACAGTATATGACAGCCTTCACAGTAGGTGACAAGAATAAGAATTTTGAAAGTTCTAGTGTTGTCAATGCCTCCCTGGTTTCAAAGATGTTAATTTGATAACTAAAGTGGAAAGGACTCAACAAGATTCAAATGGAAAATTATCTTATTAGATGCCCATTAAATGCCAGAAATTATCCCAGGGACACTGTGGTTTAAAAAAAATGTGTTCCCTTCCGTGCTGTAATTGTGCTTTTATCATGCTAATACATTATGTACTTGAAATTCATATAGGTTTAATTTCAATTATAAAATTATAACATTTTAAAATTTTAAATTAATTATAAAATTATAAAGTTTGCTGTATATTGAAGCTTTATAGAGAAGAGGAAAGAAAAATGGTCTGTAAGATAGAGCAGAGCATTGCATTTTTTGGAAAAGGCATTTTTTATTTCCCTTTACCTAGCAAAGGATCACCTCATTGGTACCCAGGCTCTGTAATCTGTTTTCACTCCTGGACCAGTCATGGGAACACCATCAGTTGTCAAAAGAAGATGTTTTGATAATACAGAAAGTAATTAGATGTGCATGTCTTACCATAACTTAAGGAAGTGAATCACAACTTTCTAGTCATTACATATTCAGGTGTCTTGCTATATAGTCATGAAAAAAACAAGATACTAAATCACAAAATTGTTCCCATGGCTTGGAAAACCTGCCCCTGTGTACAGTGCTTGAACAGATCCTAAAATACATGATACAAGTTCCACATTTAGGATCCAAAGTATTATACAAAACCAAGTTCTATTTTGTGAAATAAAGCAGTTTCTTAACTGCCATAAGTTTGGTTGTCTATAACCACATGTCTAAATCCTTACAATTTTTATTTTAATAAAGCTGAAGAGACTATTTCTTCATTTACAGTCTTATGGTCTTCAATGATTTATCATAAAAAGGAATTTAAATCAATATGATTGACACTAAACAATTGAAAATTATTGATGGGAAAATTTAATTTTTAATTATAAAAATAATAGGTAATAAAAGTTTTAGTCAAATTTTGTCTATAATAGCAAGTTAAAAATGCATTCTATGGCTTATACTATACTTTGTATTCTTCATTTTAATGATATTAAAAATCCTGGAAAGTAGTTGTGTGGTTTATTTTTGTGAAAATTTGTGTTCTCTGTAATGTTTTTGTTCACTGGAGCAAAAGTGCTTTAAAGGAAAGTACCTTCCTCAGTTGACAGAATTCCTTTTCTTTCTTTACTAAGGTTAATATGAAATTTTTGTACATGTTGTGACTGATGGATAGCAGTGAAAGATAGTCTCCACCCTGTCTTGTTTCTTTAGAAAGTCATAAGATGGCCTCATTCATGTATTGTCATTGCCTTAGCTTTGCACTTTAGCGCCACCTGGTGGAAAAAATATCGTTTGTTTTTCTCTTCGGTTTAGTTAGCCCCTTCACACTCTGCATCCCATTATGAGGTATCTTAATAGATATTAAATCATTTAATACAATTAAATAATTGCAAATGTATCTAATCTTAAAGACAGTTGTAAATAAAGTAAGGTAAAAAGATCTGCTAGATTTCCTAAGTGAAGTCGCTCAGTCGTGTCTGACTCTTTGGGACCCCGTGGACTGTAGCCCACCAGGCTCCTCCGTCCATGGGATTCTCCAGGCAAGAGTGCTGGAGTGGGTTGCCATTTCCTTCTCCAGGGGATCTTCCCAACCCAGGGATCGAACCCAGGTCTCCCTCATTGCAGGCAGACGCTTTAACCTCTGAGCCACCAGGGAAGCCCCTAAATACTATACTATTGCCAAGTTAAATACCTATGTTTCTTTAAATGTCATAAATTTGAATAGTATGTTACATATCTATGAAAAATGTGGAAATTATTGGTAATTCAATTAGTTATAATTTGCACTTTTTAATAAAGAATTAAATAAGGAAGTTTTCTGTACTTTAGTAGCAACAATTGCTTAAGTTAGATTGTCTACCAAAAAAGCAGTGTAATCACTTAATGAAGAAATTTCATACTATAAATTCTTTTCTTTTTTTGCCCTCTCTCAGCTTGCAGGATCTTGATTCCGCAACCTGGGATTGAACTCTCTCTCTCGTAGTGAAAGTGCAAGGTTCTAACCACTGCACCGCCAGGGACCCTACAGACTCTTATCATGTTAATACTTTGTGTATAGTTAAAGTGAAAACTAGTACTTTAGCCATTACTACAGCAAAGCAGGACACTTTCATGCTCATTTTGCCACTTATAATTAAGATTCAGTTGTGGGCTTATTTGAACTTGTCCTTAGTTTTTCATAGTTTTTGCAATTTTTCAAAAGTTAAATTTAAGAGTATTTTCAAATGAAAAACACAAATATATTTGAACCCAGTTTTGAAAAATTTAAGCATATTAATCACTTTGTGTAGTCCTATGTTTCTATGAAATACAGTGAATTTTCTCCTTATATAATACAGTGGAAGGTGAAAATAAACCCTAGGTGTTGTACGGTTCCTTTGGCATATACTGCTTATATGGGGCTTCACCAGTGGCTCAGTGGTAAAGAATCCATCTACAATACAGGAGCCGCAGGAGATGCAGGCTGTATCCCTATGTCATGAAGATCCCCTGGAGGAGGACAGGGCAGCCCACTCCAGTACTCTTTCCTGGAGAATTCCATGGACAGAGGAGCCTGGCAGGCCACACACCACAGGGCTGCAAAGAGTCGGACACAACTGAAGTGACTTATCATGCACCCATGCACTTATCTATTCCCTGGTAAAATCGAGAGTTTTATAGATTTGAATCTTATGACATCCAAAGGCTTAATAATAACTAAACTAAATAAGAATTGTTGGTATTTAAATAGGAAATATGTTCTAACTGTATAATTTATGGTATTTCATTTAAGATAAAATTATAATACATAACCTTCACTAAGACTTGCATCTTGTACTGAAGTTATTTGCTTTGCTGCTTCAAGAGAATATTTGAACTCTTCTGTCTCTCTTTTGTTCCTTTCCTTTAAAGGTCTTGGATGGTACACTGTAAACTCAGCATATGGAGATACCATTATCATGCCTTGCCGAGTTGATGTGCCTCAGAATCTCATGTTTGGCAAATGGAAATATGTAAGTGTGACCTATCTAGGACTTGGTTAGTTGCCTCTAGTCTTTTAAAGAAAATTCTAGTCTTTTAAAGAAAATGAGTAAATGTGAATTTCAAATAACATAATGGTAATATTCAACTAACTGTGGGTATAAATGTAAGAAGATGAAATTAATGTGTTGAGTATATCAAAAGAATAATTCCTTACATAACAAATGCTATTTTAAAATAAAGCCAATAAACAGATAATTCTTAGCTCAAATTAGTCTGAAAGAGTCACCGTGAAGTGCTCAAAGCGAAAGAAACGGCAGAATTCCAGAATAAACTCAGGGAGTATAGGACAGAGCTTAGAGGAAAATGGTTGCCATCCTCTACATACTCATCTTTTGTTTGGTGTGGTCACTTTAGAGGCGAGCTGTACCGGGAACCAGAGCATTCAAATGTCCACTGAAAACTAGTCATCAGTATTAGAAGCCTGTTTCTGGTACTTGGTCTTAAATTCAGCTGATGTGGTAGCTTCTTTTAAAATTTAGCATTGCTGATTTTATTCATTTTTTCAGTTCAGTTTAGTCGTTCAGTCATGTCTGACTCTTTGCAGCCCCATGGACACCACGTCAGACTCCCCGTCCATCACCAACTTACGGAGCTTGCTCAAACTCATGTCCATCGAATTGATGATGCCATCCAACCATCTCATTCATTCATTTCTTACAGATAGTAAAATCATATTTTCTCAGGTATTGAGGTACAGATAGGTTTGGAAATGCAGGGTAGCTATCCTAGTAGGTGAAGTGAAAAGGCTGGAAAACTTTGACCAATAAAATACCTCAATCTATTTCCCAAAACCAACAAAAAGTCTGTGTGACACCATTTCCCAGTGCTTGATCACATAAGACACAATAGTTTGCAAGTTTGAACAGAGGACATATGTTTCATTGAACACAATTGGCAAATTTTCCCTAGGTCCTTGAAATGTTAAAAGATATTTGAATAGGAAAAGGATTTGATGGTCCAATAATTTTTGAAAACTGTTTTATTACAATACTTCTCAGAGCCTTTCCTATATACAGCTACATGATGAATTGTCTGAGTTCATTCATTTCTTAGGTTTATTGAACCACACAACTTTTTCTCTCAGATATCTGCAAGAACAAATGTTCTACAGGATAGAAATGTGCATAGTTGCATCCAAGGGGTAGTGAAGCACAATCTCTTAAAGTACAGGTTCTGAAGTCAGACTGACATAACCTATCATGTACCGGCTATAGCATTCCGGACAAGTGAATTAATCCCTATTTTCTCATGGGAAAAAAATGAGATGATAATGATAATCTTCCTTACAGTGTTGTGAAGGTTACATGAAGTAATTCATATAAGAATACTTACCTAGTACTTGGCACGTGGTAATTGTGTGAAAAGTGTAAACTGTTGTGAGTGTAGTACCACTGAGTTCTAAACACAGTGTGTGATGGGGCAGGTGAAGGCAGAAGAAGGAGGTAAGTCAGCATACCACTTCCCTGTTCCCTCCTCCTAATATCAAGCTCACCCTGGGTAATTTTTACCTATTTCTGGTTCTGTATAAAAATGGAAATACAAAGTTAAGGCCTATGAGGACAAAGTCTATTCACAATCCTAAAATCCCAAGGGTCTGGGAGGCTACCACCATTAGTGCTAACATAAATGGAATCCACTGGTGAAAAACTTCTGTGATTATCGACATTTCTGATGCCCAGGGAATACTTTTCACCTAAACTGCACTGGCACAATGGCAGTGAAAACAAACAATAATGGCAGGTTTCAAACTGTTAATGAAATAAAAAGCTTCAGCAATAAACTGATGAGCTATATTTGAAGTGCCATATGCTCTGAAAGCAGTCTTAATTCCCTGATGCAGTATACAACCTCTAATTTAATGTAGCCTGAAAGACAAAGAGCAGCTTTGGAAAGAGTGAAAGGGAGCAAACCTAGAGGAAAGATGGATTCATTCCTCTCTTACTGCATGGTAATCTCCCTGTGAGTGGAGATCATACCTCCCTGCACCCCACCCTACCCCACTCCCACTGCTTCTTCAGCAGCATCCACCTCTGTGCCTGGTACAGAAGAAGCATCTGAGGCTGTCAAGAGTGATATAATGTAGTCATAATGGAGCCAGGCGGTGAAGCTCCAGTCTTGGCCCTGCTGAGATACACTGGCTGGGGCCCTGGACCAGTTATTTAACCAACCTCTGTCTCCATTGTCTATAAATGAGGCCAGTATTATGTGTAATTTACAGGGTTGTTATGAATATTAAATCCATTAGTGCACGGGAAGCCCGAAGAAAGTCCCCTGGTTTATAGTTAAGTGCTCAAAATGTAATAACTGTCATTTCTTGCATGAGTGAACAACTATAGAAATTTAAGATACTGGTCTAACATGTTTTTCTCAATGAAGGAAGGATTTAGTACAGGGTTTGCACTGTAAACCTGTAGCAATATTAAAAGATTTAAGGAGACTCTGTTACTGATGTATTCACATATTCAACCAACTGAGCCTTTTGGACTCCAATTTTAGCTTAGTAATTGTCTTAGTCACCTTGGGCTGCAATAACAAACTACCGCAGACTGGGAGTTTAAATAAACAGATGCTTATTTCTCAGAGTTCTGGAGGCTGAGCAGTCCAAAATCAAGGTGCCAGCCGATTCAGTTCTTGAAGAGGGCTCTATTCCCGACTTGCCAACACTGGCCACTTGCTATGCGTTCACAGGACCTCTTCTTTGTGTTTTCGTTGAGAGGAAGTGCTCATGCATCTTCCTCTTCTTATAAGGGCGCTAATTCCATCATGAGGGTACCATCCCCAAGACCTCTTCTAAACCAAATCATCTCTTAAAGGCCCACCCTGGGGGTTAGGGCTTAGACATACAACTTTGGGAGGGTCTCAAGCCTTGAGTTCATAACAGTAGTAAATAATTTTTAAAATGTTACTTCTCTTAACACCTTGAAATTTGTCATACACTTTAAAATGTTTTATTATATTTTATTTTCTTCAAGACCTTGTGAGGTTAGTAGAAGAGAGTACACACATGTGTGTTCAGTTGCTCCGTCGTGTCCAATACTTTGCAACCCCATGGACCATAGCCCGCCAGACTCCTCTGTCCATGGGATTCTCCAGGCAAGAATGCTGGAGTGGGTTGCCACGCCCTCCTCCAGGGGATCTTCCTGACCCAGGGATGGAACCCACATCTCCTGTGGCTCCTGCATTGCAGGCAGATTCTTTACCACTAGTGCCACCTGGGAAGCCCTCAGTAGAAGAGAGATTGGCCCTTATTTTAGATTGTTGTTATTAAGAGAATGTTTGTGAGAGCAAGGAAGAAATGAATTGTATGTCTCAGTGCTCTTGGCATAAGTGTATATGCTAGATTATATTTTATTTTAATAATAAGTTTTTGTATGAAAACGCTCTGAGCAAAGTTTTATGACTCAGATAGTAAAACCATGGGTTTCAGTGATTAATTGGATTGTATTGCTTTAGTGGGCATGATCCTTTTGCAAGGGCAAATATACTGTTCCTCCATGAAGATTCATTAAACTATGTTATATGTAAAGGTCAGCTCTGTCAGTTCTGACTGAAACTGAAAAGTGTGGGCACATAAAGTATACAGATTAAAGTAACGAGCATGCTAAAGATAATTGCTTAGGATTTCTAAATGAGTGTTTGCAGCTCAAGTGTATTATACTGTGATAGTTAGCTGAAAATCCTTTTGTAACATAACACGAAACACGTTTGTTTTCGCCTATTTTTCTTTTATATTAGACATAAGGCCAACCCTTGTCAATTTCAAAACAGATACCAATTCTGTCCTTCAGATGCAAGAAAAGATGGGATCCCTTAAGCTCCATCCTTTCATGTTTGTATACTTACTGATGCCTGTAAAAGAACTTAAAGCTTTTCCCTTATGAAGAGTGATCCTTTGTAACCAAAGATTTATGTGAGGCTCATATCCAAAATTACTCTTCTTGGACAGAACTACAAATTCTGATGGAATAGCATGGCCAAGAAAATTTTGTTGCTCTGACTGTAATTCTGAAACATCTAAATATGCCTGTTTTTTAATGTATTGTTACTTTAACTTTTAGGAAAAGCCCGATGGCTCCCCAGTATTTATTGCCTTCAGGTCCTCCACAAAGAAAAGTGTGCAGTACGATGATGTACCAGAATACAAAGACAGATTGAGCCTCTCAGAAAACTACACTCTCTCTATCAGTAATGCAAGGATCAGTGATGAAAAGAGATTTGTGTGCATGCTGGTAACGGAGGACGACGTGTTTGAGGCTCCTACAGCAGTCAAGGTGTTCAGTAAGTAGTCCGAGTGTAACTGCTAAGTGGGATTGATGGTCGGTCCTGGAAAATGTTCTTTACAAAGAAGGCTGAACTCGCTGTGGTGTCTCCACAGCAGGCATCATGTAAGAGGACTTCTTGAGAGCTTCGTTCTGCTCGTGCATGCTGTCAGTGAGAAAAACAAAAACCTGAAATTCAGATAAGAATTTTATCTAGCAAAGAAGCGGAATATTATTTTATTTGCAGTGAGGGAATAAAAGAATATTCTGTTATTTTGTTGGATAAAATTTCCTGTGATACGAAGTGCTGTTAAATAAAAACTAGCCTATGAAGTTTTACTTTCACAGACATGCACAAATAAATGTTATGTGATAGATACTAATACATAGATACATCATATTGGGTTGGCCAGAAAGTTCATCGGGATTTTCTGTACAAAGTTATGGAAAAATTTGAACATTTTTGATATACATATTCATGCATATCAATGCATCCATAAATATGCATTAGGCTAAACCATATAAAATTGCTATTTTGTTGTATAGCAATAACAAAATGCAAGCAGGAGACGTAAGTTTTCTGTATATGTATATGTATATGTGTGTACACACACACATTCTGACCTTAACCACTTAATGCTTGTTGATTTCCATTCTGAGAGTGTTCAAGTGGTTTAGAAAATTGCCCTAAAATAAAGAAGTTCACCACTTCTTTATGTGGTGTATGTGGAATCCATGGGGGGTCGGGGGAAGTAGAGTAAGATTGGAAGAAGAGAAAGTTGTAAAGAAGCTTGGAATAATTACTGTAGGTTACTTTGGCTAATGATACTATGTAGTTAATGTGAGGTTGCAAATAGCTCTGCAAATAAATGACTTGAGAAGTTCTAATTAAAATGTTTTATCTTTTAATATTTAAATAAAATATCCCGCCTTCATTACATCATAATATCTTAGAAATTACAGGGAGAAAAATAGGTCTCAAAGGTTTCAGAATGCCAGTCTTTTTTAATTAGGGAAGAAGGTCTCACTTTTTAGTTTTTTCCAGTTTTCTGATAACTTGACAGCACCTAGAAATTATTAAAATAAACAGGGAAGAAAGAAACCCAGAGGGCCTTGCTATTACAGCAAGTAACCTTGGGTTTTTCCTGTTTCTCTTGTAATAGCCCATGCAACTAAGTAGGACGATCCCTTAAGCATTTATATGGACTTCAAAGCTCCTTTGGGCTCACAACAAGGATTCAAAGAGTGCTTATACTATCAAAGAAGCCTTTGTTCTCCAGAAGAACCGTGTAAAAGCATATTACATGTTTCAGCTGATTACCTTTCAGCTTAGAAGGCACTTTCCAGAAACCATCAACTCAACTCAATTATTTTATGGATCAAACCTAGTACCACGTGTTTCTCAGTTATGCCCCCTTCTAGTAAACACCCCAAATAATCTCTATCCTGTATTTGCCAAAGTTCCATGTATTTTTTCTTTCCTTTTATTTCACTTTTATGTTATTAGGAAGATGAATTTTGCGCTGCTAGAAACACTTTTTCTAAAGAGAGCATCCAAAATCTTTTAATTAGGCCATGATGTCATAAATATAAGTATACAGGAATGTACTGCAGTAGGTAGAGATTAAGTCACGTCACTCTAAAGGTTATGTGTCTTGATGTCATTGTCACATTTCTTGTTATTGTGTTAAAATTACCAAATATCAAGACAGTTGAGAAAGAAGAGACAGTTGAGAAAGAAACAAGAAAGTTGAGAAAATCCAGGTTGTTCCATTTTCAGAATACAAATTTTAGAATATAATTTTTTAAATGCCCAGAAGTTCAGTTGGTTTAATTCAATAAAATTTGTAAGGGATATCTATGATTGTAAAAACAATCTCACACCCTGCATACCATCAGCACCCGCTACTTACCCCCTTCTCTTTTGAATGTTGTTGAAAACAAAGTGATTCTCAGAAACAGAATTTGCATTCCAGGCTCTGGGCCAGGGAGAATTTAAATAGATGAGTTATACATTTTTGAAAATGGGGTTTTATACTAGAAACTGTGGGACCCTCCAAGTCCAATTAAATAAACAGCACAGCTCATGATAAAGAGTCTGCAAGAGCATATAGGGACTTTGCTTTTTTAAAAAATAATGAATTTACTTTGGATCGTTATTTGTGAAGCAAATAGCAGCTGTGACATGGATGCTTTCATTCTGTGCATGTATATATTGCAGTCATTTAAGAGTTACTAGGCTCATCAATCAGTCCTCTGTTTCCTTCTGTCGAGTCACCTAGCAACATGCATTGTGTACCACAGAATGAGTATGGTTAACGTGAGCTAATCCCAAATCAGCTTGTTGCAGAATGTCCGCCTTATAGGCAAAGTCAAACTGTTTTCGTTCAAACTAGAGGCCATGAGTGATGACTTTATTACTCTGATGAAGGTTTGTTTATTCAGTTCTAAGCTATATCTCTCATGCAAGAAATCATGCCAGTAAAGCAGACCAGATCCAAAATAAGTCTCGTGCTTTGTCACCACTAAGGCACTTTTGTTTGTTTGGTAGTTAAAATGGCACTAAAATCAGACTCTTTGCGTTTAATGTACATTTGAAGTTAATAAAACTATCCCTTAGCAAGAGCAAACCTTTAAAAGTTCTCCCAAAGATTCATTGTTGTGATTGTGCAAAAGTCTTAGAGGTTGAATGCGTGCCCAGAGAGCCAAATGGCTGAATGGCTGTCGGCAGTATAATAGGAAAATCACTGAACTGGTCATCAGGACATCCAGCTTTGTTAGATCTGCTACAAATTTCTGACCTTGGACAAGTGACTTCCCCAGTCAGGGCAAGGGGTGCAAGTCTCTCCTCCTCTGTAAGTGAGTTTTCCCACTCTGTTCCTAGGATTCTCTTGAGGAGCTAATGAATAAGGCTGAGGAAAGTGAGGAGCAGCTTCTACTTGAATAACTAGAATTCTAGTCACTCAGTGTTTCAAAGTTTTTTCATGATATTTTGTTCAGGGGAAAAAAAATGAAAGAAGGGCTTGAGCACTAAAAAGCCTTTGAAAATCACAATCCAGCCTAATCTTTGGCACTGGTGTGTGTGGTGTTAAAAGGAAGATTATTTCTGTGACTTGGAGTCTGGTATCTACCTGGACCAGCCAACTCTACTCCTAGTAATGGTTGACATCACAATGTTATTTTAGAGCTTTTATTTGGACACTGCTCAATATTTATTGGAACTGAGCATCCCTCCTCAAACCCTCCCTGTGAAAATTATTCAACTGCAAGCCACTTCTTTTTTTTTAATGAAAGAAGCAGTAAATAACCCTTTCAACAAATAAGGTCTACCCTGTATATTTCATTTTGATCCTTTAAATGTAAAAAAAAAAATCCCTCTTCCCATCTCATAAGGAAAATAAACTATAATTTCATGTTTATAATGATTACTTAAAGTAGATCAAGAGGTGATTGTTGAGAAAATACAGAGAGAAGCATCCTTGACTCACTGTAGCCAGTACACCTGCCTCTTGCTCTCTTCCCATGCCAAATTGAGCTGTCCTCTGTGTGGCTTTTGAGAATAACTCTAGTGCATTGTGATGTAGAGCAGTTTTGTGTTCATCACTTCATCCTCACCTGGCTGTGAAACCCTTGACAAAATTATTTTAATAATGCTAATAAATTTGTGACATGACTTTTCCTTTCAATTCTATACTTAGTTATGAATCCATGAATCATATTAAGATGTAATTCACATAAAGCTTTTTTAATCACTTTGGAATCAATATGCAGTTTTGCTAAAATAGTACACACCCTCTTTTATGGTCCTCTAACTGACACTCATCGATTGTTACACGCTGATATGAGAGAAAGTTACCTGCAGAACATGTATTTAATATGAAATGTTTGAAACAAAAGTTTGAGAACATAACTCAAAGAAATGCAATTGGTATTAGCCTTACTTTCTCAATATTCAGTATGACTCTCTCTTCTAAATAGAAAAATGAACGACTGTACAAAGAGAACTAAATTTTAAGTATCCTTTCATCAGGTTTCCCTGGGTTTGCTGCAGCTTTCTTTTATTGAAATAATAAATTTTAGAGAGTGTTTATGGAAACAAGCGCACATGGACATGTGGAAAAGACCAACAATTTGACCACACCAGTATTAACAGTTATACAGAGTTTATAAATTACAGTAGAGGAATACATTCTACATTAGAGGAAATATGTGTCTAACCGAGTTGTCATCTGATTTTCATGAACTAGACATTAGTGCAACCTAACAAAACTGCCCACCTGCACTTTCTATTAAAAAGCTAATTTTTTAGAGGATCTTTTCAAATCTATATATATATTCCAGGCATAGATAGTAACTGAAGAGGAAACAAAACTATTTTGCTCTTTTTTTCTTGTTAAACTTGACTTTTAATCAACCACATAAATTAATTTAATATCTTACCTCTTTTGAACTCTGAGAGAGGTGTCACTGAGTAGCTGACTTTAGTTCCCAGAGAACATTCACTTACTCAAACCCCAAGATTTTTGTTCTGTTTAAATATTTTGGATGCAGCCCTATCGCAAAGTCATTGGACATTTGCCATAAAACATTGGATTCTGAACATAATTTAAGGTTTTATCAATAACTCAAGTTGTAATTATGAACAGTAATGATTTTATTTTAAAATAGTGACAAAATTAAGACTTGCTGATGTGTAGAAGGCTACATATTTCCCAGAAATTGCTATTTATCTTGAGTATTTTTTCAGTTTTTCATAATTTTTGGTCACATTATTAGCAGTCAGGTAGCCAGGTCACTTCTTATTTGTGTTAATGTAATTGTTTGTTATTCTTTTCTATTTTTCTATCTTTCTTTTACTTTTTAATCTTTCTTATATTTTCTTTTCAATTTGTGCATTTAGAATATAGATAAATTGCTCTTCAGGAAGCTATATCAAGAAAATTATATTTCTAGAATTAATAGTAAATAGGCCTTCTATAATTGAAGTGCAAGTTCAACACATAGGCAAATTCACTATTATTATTCATTGTTCTAATTTCTAATATAAAATAATTGCAAAGGGAAAATTAACTCTGGGTATTAACTTGAAGAAGATTACATTATTTTTGCCTGGAATCTTGGTGATACCCATTTTGCTGTTTCAAAGACTTTTTGTCTTCTTTCATGTTCCCTATAATGGTCTGGTTAGGTAATATGTGTCATAACTGAATTCCAAACTGAATAATAATAATAGAAAAGCGAGTTTAGTTTGGTAGTAAAAGTACAGTGATGGTAGACAGTGAGATTATGGAAGAAAAGATAGTTGGTTGTCTTTGTCTATTTATTTGAGAATAGAATAGTTGCCCATGAGACTAACAAAAATCAATGACAATGTGAGAAAATATCCATTTTCTATAGACTAATTGTTAGAGCTAATTAATAAGTTAAAAAATCCATCAATGATAGAAAACTAAAGGCTAGAATAAAATAAGTTTAAATAATACCATGTTGATCCAATTTGTAATCAGTTTTTCCCAAAGCCTCTATTAGAATATATGCTTATAGAGCTTCCTATATTGAAAATGCCTCTGTCCATTATCTTAGGTTCCAAATTTCACTTCACTTAAAAGACAAGGTTTAAGATAATAGGAAACTTGAGCTTCTACATCCCTTAACCACTATATATTTCCCTTGATTTTAGAGCAGTGATTCTTAAACTATACTGTGCCCCAAAATACCCAATGGAACTTGTTTTAAAAGTAGGTTTACAGGATTTCCCCTAGATATTATGATTCAGTTGGCCTGGTAGAGCTCAGAAATCTGCATTTTAAATAAGTGCCCCTGTGATTCAAATTCATGTGAACTCTAGTTTTCATCTAAAGAGTTGGAAATTATTGGTAAGTAGAAAGTGCACATGGTAATCAACTGCAGATAATATATCCTCTTTAATACATTAACCTCTGTTACCATCTAAACCATACTCACTGTTTATAAAGCATCCAGAAAATGTTACCAATATTTTATTCACAGGAGTAATAAGTATTTAAAATAATATTTAATGTAATAAAGCAAATATCTGGAATGGGTAGCTAACCAGATTTCTTAATTAGAGATTATATGGGAAAATTTTATTGTGTTGCTTCTTTTTCTACTTTGAGTAAATTAATTATTTTTCTGTAAACCAAATCACAAATATCCATTTTCTTCTTCCATGTGCACTTAAAATATTTCTCTGTTTAACTTTAGAGCAACCATCTAAACCTGAAATTGTAAGCAAAGCCCCATTTCTTGAGACAGACCAGCTTAAAAAGGTAAGAACTTGTTTTTGATTGATTGCCTTTCCTTAGCCTATTGTTGAATGCCTTTTCTTGTCCTCAGATGCCAGGACAAATAAGATAGACTTTGCTCTGTGGAGTTGACAGTGTTCCAGATACCAGTCAGAAAGTCTGCACAAGGTAGAAAGGAGACATAGAGGAAGGCGTGGTTATTTCTGAAGGGAGGAGAAGGAGATGAGAGTTTCTTTTTTAAAAAAGCATAAGTCTTTCTTGTTTGAATGAACTGAATGTTTAATGAAGTCATGGCAGATGAGTACATTTTCTGCACACCACAGACAGAAAAGGCTTTCCAACAATATGAAATAATACCATGTGAAAGGAAATGGCATGCTTGGGAAGCACATTATTTGCACTGCTGGAATTTGGGGTGCTCAGCCAGTGGGCAAGACAGTCCAGTAAGAGGTGAATCTCGAGAGTTAAGAGAGGCTGGATTATGACAAACCTTCTATCATGTATAATGTTTGGTCTCTATCTTACTGATAAACCATTGAAAAGTTGAAGAAAAGGGATAAGATCAGATTTGTACAATCATATTAGCAGAGATTTGAAGGAAGGACAAAACTGGAGTTCCATATGTGAGCATATCACTTGATTCATAATCTCACTTTCACTAATTAAAATAGCCCAAATTTCTTTTATTGTAGGAAAAAGCAGGTTCAAAATTCTTTGAATCAGATTAAAGTTGACTGCATAATATTATTTGATAAACACTAAGTATTTAAAACTGGAGTAGGAAATGACAGTCTATTCCATTTCCAGTACTCTTGCCTGGAGAATCCCATGGACAGAGGAGCCTGACGGGCTACAGTCCACAGGGTTGCAAAGAATTGCACATGGCTGAGCATGCACGCGCACGCACAGACACACACACACATCACAAACACAAGTGAAATGCAGTGGCAAGGATAGCCGTTCATGGCAAGCACATGTCAGCTGAAACGTAGCATGAAGCTGGAGAGGCAGCCTTGTTTTAGCACCGTTAATGATTCTTTCAAATGCAGATCTGTCAACCATGGTAATAGCCAGCGTGAATGCAGTTATGTTATTTAGTTAATGTTAAAAGTGAATACTGTCAAAATGAATTGGGTAATGCTTTTAAATGAATGTGATTTTATTAATGGTGGCAGCATCTACTGCGCATTTTAAAATGGGCAAGACTATAATTTTAAACACAAGACATTGTTTTTATGTAAGAGTGCATTCATTCAGTCCTTAGTTGGGACTTATAAAATGAATGGGTCAGGAAATCATTGGAGGAACTCTGCATCCCTTGAGGAGTCTGGGGCTTTCAAATGGACAACCCCTGATGAAACCAAGGTTGTAATATTTCCTCTCTATATTGCAGTTGGGTGAGTGCATTTCAAAAGACAGTTATCCAGATGGCAACATCACGTGGTACAGGAATGGAAAAGTTCTGCAGCCTCTTGAAGGAGGTGGGTAAGAAGTGGGCAATAAATCCAGGTGACCTGTTTTGCCTTTCTCTTGTCTAAGCATTCTTTAGACTATCCTGAGTCTAAATGCATTGCCCTCTCTTGATTTATGACTCTATATTCTTTGTTACTTAAGTATCCATTAAATCAGTAAGGGATTTTTTAAAACTTCATTTTAGACCTTGTGCAGAAGAATCAAGAGCAGAGAAAATTATTTCTGTATATGGCATGTTCTAGAAGTTAATTAAAGTGAGTGGGAAATAAAATTCCCAGGATTCTATTTCTGTCCATGTCTCTGATTCATGCTTTTGAAAAGACATCTACCTCACTACATGTCAATTTTCCCTCCTGTTAAATGCAGTAAGAAGGACAAAACCACTTCTCAAAGTTGCTATGACAGTTAATTAAGGGCTGTGATTTTCCAATGAAAGATCCTACCATTAGTGTTCTTTATTTTCTTCAGCGGTGGTCATAATTTTTAGAAAGCAAATGGACCCAGTAACTCAGCTCTATACCATGACTTCATCCCTGGAGTACAAGACATCCAAGGCTGACATACAAATGCCATTCACCTGCTCTGTGACATATTATGGACCGTCTGGCCAGAAAACAGTTTACTCTGAACAAGCAGTTTTTGATATTTACTGTAAGTAACTCAATACAATTATACAACTTTAATGTATTAGAAAAAATGTTCCAGTGTTATTTTAAGTCCCAATTCAAAAACTCTTTGGAATCTATTTCCAAACTCCCATCCCTATTCCATAGTACCTAAATAATATCTTCCTCTTTGCAAGACCTGTAGAATAAATGCTCACCCATCTTATGATAGCTTTCAGTCTCTACTTTGTTATTTATAATCATCTCCTCTGTATTCTCTAACTTAGTCTGATTTCTTTTGTTAATTCTCCACCCTGGCACATAGTCATGGACTTTGTAGGAGTTCGGAATGCCGCCTGATGGTTTTCTGAATGAATGACAGATGAATAGAGACTTATGACTGATTGGTTTTCTAGATATGGAATTTCCATTTTAATAAAGAGAAATATTTTAATAGTGCAATCAATTGCATACATTAGATAGAATGTTGAATTCCAAGGTATTTTGTTTAACTTTACACCACAGATTTTAAAACCTGGAATATTAGACTACAAAGGAACTTTCTTGATCATCTGATCTAAGTCCATTATTTTATTTAACAGCAAAATGAGACCCAGAGACTTGCCCTAAATTAGCTTTAGCAACTGGATTAGAATCCTTTTCTCCAATGCTGTGTTCCTTCCTGTAATATGGAAGTCAAGATAATATGATTTAGAGCAAAGATGCTGGCAATCCAGTTTTATTACTGTTAGTTACTATGTATTTCTAGAAAAGAAGCTTAACTACTTTGTCTGTTTTCATATTTTGAAATAGGACAAATACAATACTTAACTCATGGTGGTGTTATGGAGATTCAGTGAAATTAAAAATCTAAAATAGCACAACATGTAGCACATTAAATGCTTGTTAGTAAGTACTATTAGCATTTTTACCTAATAAGCATATAAACAAGATATATTTCAGGGAATGATATAGAATATTTTACTATTTTTAATGAATTAGAAATTCCCATAATACTGTCATATGTTGTAGAATAACCTAATACTTCTACACCTATTTGAGAGAAAGGGTAGAAATGCCCATTAAACCTTCAAAGAGTTTTATCTCAGCTACATTTCTATTTGGGTTCCATAAAGTGCAGAATCTTATATAAAGAGCAAAACTGAAATTCCACTTGCTCTAACCATCATGAGATGTTTTGCCTTAAACTTTGTAAACAAGTTTCAACTTGATTTAAAGGCAAGGATTGAGAGGATTTCATCATGTACAGCTTATCTAAAATCAAACTATTATTTCTGTATGTGGAAGCAGAACTCTATTCAAAGATATTCAATTGGAAATAAACTATCTTGGTGTAAGCACAGAAGTACAAGATAGGAAAGAACATCAAGATGAGTGAAAAGGATTGGAAAATTGGCTTAGGAAGGATAGAATATATGTGAATATCAGGCATGGAGAAATAGATGGGCAGGAAAGTCCTTGGATGAATAAGAAGGAAATGATTTTACTGTGGCTGGCTGTGTGGAACACATTTGGCAGAGCTTTTGAGAAGGCACAGAGTATGCAGTGTTGGCCTTCAAAGGGAAGACCCCAAAGCGTTTAAGACATCGTCCTGACATTCAAGGGGTTTCTCCAATAGAGAAGATGTGTGCATCGGAGGGAAATCGTCAGTGCAAGGTTGCAGCTGTAAGTGCCACAGAGCCAGTGAACAGACCTCAAAGTTCAAGTGTCCATGAGCAGTGATCCCAGACTCAGTGTGGGTCGGAATCCCCGAAGGACTTGGTAGAATACAGACTACTGGCCTGGCTCTGGAGTTGCTCATCCAGTAGGCATGAGACCCCGGTTTGACTCCTGCCGCAGGAGGATCCACTGGAGAAGGGATAGGCTGCCCGTGCCAGTATTCATGGGCTTCCCTGGTGGCTCAGCTGGTACTGCGATGCAGGAGACCTAGGTTAGATCCCTGGGTTGGGAAGATGCGCTGGAGACAGGAACGGCTACTCACTCCAGTATTCTGGCCTGGAGAACTCCATGCACTGTATAGTCCATGGGGTCGCAAAGAGCTGGATACCACTGAGCGATTTTCATTGCTCCAGGATGACTTCAGAGAAGAGAAGGAGGAGCTAAATGAAAAGTACAGAGGTATACATTCAAGAGAAAGAAATGTGATCAATTCATCTGGAAAGTTTTATAGAACCTACCTCTTTCATCTGTGTATATCTGATTCACAGTATACCTCTTTCATCTGTGTGTATCTAATTGTGCCTTTTGACGCTGCCTAAGATTATGCCACCATTCCTCATTGCTGGTATTTCTGTAACAGCTTCAAAAATAGTTTTCCTGTCTATTCACCCGAAACTGCCCTGCAAGCTGCTGCCAGACATATCTTTCTAAAACACAAATGTGAACATGTTACTGCTGTGATGAAAACTCTTCAGCAACTCCCCAGATCGTTCAGGGTAATCTTTACATTCTCAATTTCAAAATGCCTTGAGTCTCCTATAGGTGTGGTCCTTTCCTTTTCCAACCTTCACCACTTCACTGCCTTCTCTAATCTGTTCTATTTTCCAGATTCCTCCTGTAGAATACTGTGTACATTCCTATTCATATGCTGTCATGCTGTCATCTTTATTATCCAGCAAACATCTTATTTTTCAAAACCTAGCTCTGGGGCCAACTCCTACTGGAAGCTTCCTCATCTGGTGAATCTATAAGCTACCAATGATTGCTATGCTTATGCATCTTAGACAGTTTTAATATTGTTACAGTCTTAATTTATAAATTTGACATCATCATAAATAAACTGAGAGTTCACTTAGGGCAGGGAATTGCTGTTTTCAACTTTGTAACTCCAGCACTTTGTACTTGAACTAAACAAGTATTAACCAAATGAATGAACATAAGGTAAATTTAGAGATGAGAAAAAGAAAAACTGAGTAGACCCTTTTGGTTATTATGTAGGGGTATTTATGGAGTAGTGAGATATATGATTCTTACCCAAAGTAAGTTCAAAGCAGTTATGGATACCAGATTAAGAAATTTTTATTTCAGTCTTTGGTTTTGGGGAATGCATGCTGCTGCTGCCGCTGCTAAGTCGTCTCAGTCGTGTCCGACTCTGTGTGACCCCATAGACAGCAGCCCACCAGGCTCCACCGTCCCTGGGATTCTCCAGGCAAGAACACTAGAGTGGGTTGCTATTTCCTTCTCCAATGCATGAAAGGGAAAAGTGAAAATGAAGTCGCTCAGTCGTGTCCGACTCTTAGCGACCCCATGGACTGCAGCCTACCAGGCTCCTCTGTCCATGGGATTTTCCAGGCAAGAGCACTGCAGTGGGGTGCCATTGCCTTCTCCAGGAATGCATGAAGACTTTTAAATATCATTGTAATAGTCAAAGCACCATTTCCAAAACTGATTTAGAGAAAGTATGTATAAAGATGCAGAAAAGAGAAAGGCTTACAGTGAGGAACTAAATGACGTTTAGTGTCTATGTTTCAGATGTAGATTAATTAGAGCCTTTACAAGGGAAGTGTTGGGAGAATAGAAGGGAAGAATCAAATGCAGAATATAAGGATTAGTCATTAAGATTGGGTGACTGAGTGGATAAGAGAGGGCAAAGGAGAAAGCTGGAGTAACTGGCAGACTGATGATTTACTAATAGAGTAAAATTCAAAGTCAAAGGGAGAGTATGAGATCATTAATTTTGTTGGACGCACATTAGTGGGCATTCAGAAAGCCACTGTTAGAACTCCAACGTGTTGCATTAACCCCGTGATCTCAGTCTAGATCAAACTCTCCAGTACAGAGCAGAGCCTATTGAAGAAGGAATACAGAGAAGCAGGGTTAAAATAAAGCAGAAAGTCAGATCGATTATGATTCCTAGCTGTTCTGGTGTCAGCTTTGGTCAGAGACGTGCTGCAGTGATGTGAGACAGACCAAACCAGGCAGAGAAGGGCCATGTGAATGAGTGAGGGAGGCCTAGAGGTGGAAGGCCAGCGGGGGACAAACTTTATTTACTTTCCCACTGCACTGAGAACTGGTCAGGGAACTACCTCAGGCAAATTCAGAAAAATGAAAAAGTATATTAAGTCAATTACTCTTTAGCCTCAGAACCTTCTAGGCAAATATTCAGAAATGCCCAAGCATGAAAAAAAGTCAGAGGCAATCTATAACAACCCTTCTGGGTTTCTTTTTTTTTTTTTTTTCCTGCCTTTAATCTTAGCAAGACAAGTAAGTGATTGCAAGAGATAGAAGAAAAAACAGCTTTAAAGTCTACCACTTATTCATCTCACTTTATTAGCTAATAGCAAAGTAAGTCTTCATAGATGGATTATTTTTAGTGCTGCCAGTTTGGAAATACAGACACATGCCTCAGTAGTTATTAAGCCTTGTGGAAAAGGCTCTCTAAAATAAACCTTTACATTATATGATTTCAAAATTCATTGTTCATTGTATTACCAGCTACATAACAAGTGAATATATTAGAAAGTGGGTCATTTATAACTGCCAACACCACCTCCTTTGATTTCCTGTTGGGTAGATATGGTCCACTGTGCATCCAGCTTTTAATTCCTTTAGCATTCTACTGTTGAGCAGTAGCCTTGACCAAAGAATACCCTTTAGCCCTATTTTCTCCGTAAAAATGACCAAAATGGAATTTTAAGTTGCATCTTGGCTCCAATGAACAGAAAAGAATTACAAAACATTCACAGTTCTGTTGATTGTATTTTATTAAGGGTCTCCCTCTGTTCATGGGATTCATCTTTCTCAAAGCAAATCTGCTCTCCTGCATACCAAAAATCTTCCTGATATTATTTGGCTTATGTCCCTTTTTATTTAATATAAGATATTATTGTGTAATATGAGTGTGGGTGTGCCTGATAGTTTTAGCTCTTTTTCTAGCAATCTTTCCAAACTGTAAGATATGTGTAATAGAGTTAAATGTCCTTATAATGAGATTATACAATGAGATTGTTCCTACTGGTCTTTTACACATAAAATAATTATGGTCATTCCTATTTCAGGTAAAGACATTTTGCTAAGAAGAAATTGATTTTTATGTTAACAGAGCTTCTTTGTAGTTTGCTCTAACCAAGATTAGTACTTGTTATAGCAAGTAGCTATTAACTTCAGTCCTTCTATAAAAAGATACATTTAAGTAATTACCATTACTAGCTTCTTGAGAAAATTGTGTATAATTTAGTCACTTACATTATATGTACAAAGTAATTTGGTGCTTGATGAAATGGTTAACTTGTGTTTGTGACTCTTGCAGATCCTACAGAGCAGGTGACAATCCAAGTGCTGCCATCAAAAAATGCCATCAAAGAAGGGGACAATATCACTCTTAAATGCCTGGGAAATGGTAACCCTCCTCCTGAGGAGTTTTTGTTTTACTTGCCAGTAAGTGATTCATGATTTTTACTTGAGCTAGACTGCTATCATTCTGTCCTGTTGTTTGGCAGCTGGCTGACATTAAGAATTGTATGTTCTTGGGCCGCTTAAGTGAGAAAGGATGTTATTCTTGGAGACAACGGAAACCTGTGGAATGTCCTTTAAAAGTTTTTTGGCATATGCCGGTGCCTTTGCCTTTTTTATTCAGTGTTAAGTGGAATCAGAGACAAAGAGGAGAAGAGCTGATCATAGGAAACCATCATGGTAGAAACTCAAAGTTTCATTATCCAAATAAACTGTAAGAATCTGCTCTTCTTAAGCAGACAAATATAAAATGTAGAATGATGATAGCAAATGGTTTGCTGTGGATTCTAAATCCACACAGAGGGTGTTCCTCAACATGTCCCTGAATTCCCAATATAGGGACACTTGTGTTACCCATTATATTTAGCTTGATAGAGGAAAGCAACGGGCTATATCTTGCCATCATACATGGTCATGAAGGGCCACTTTCTTAACTTTTATCAGTAGTGGAACTGAAAGAAGTGATGTCTAGAGGATAATTTGGCTGTGTTCTAGATGTCATAGTGTTGTGGAGGCAGACTAGACGAGAGCTACGTCTGAGGACACTTGCTGGCTCTCCCACAGCCTTCTCAGGTTTGTGTTTGACAGAACATTCCTTTGGGAGAAGCCATATGCAGCTCTTACTGTGTTTACTGCAGAAGTCTGCTCATGACGCCGCCCACTGCATTGTTCAGTAATGCCTTAGACTGTCAACCACTGATGACTCAGAAGGCCAGTATAAGTGGTTTCTTTTTACTTTAAGGAGCTCCCTAGTGGCTCAGATGAAAAGAGTCTGCGTGCAATGCAGGAGACCCAGGTTCAATTCCTGGGTCAAGATCCCCTGGAGAAGGGAATATCAACCTACTCTAGTATTCTTCAGGCAGAGGACCCTGATAGCCTACAGTCCCTGGGATCTCAAAGAGTTGGACACAACAGAGAGACTAAACACTTTTCACTTTCACTTTTATACCTAAATGTTGACAGAAGATTCTATGTATCCTAATAAATTGACATAGTGTTTTTGTCTGATATGCAAATGAAAATTTGAAACTAATTACGTTTCTACCTTGATTTTCAGGGATTACAGAGCCAAATTTGTGTCTTAGTTTTATCAGTCACTATGTCTTTTGTTAATATATACTCCTAATACTCAAAATGTATTTTTTAATTCTTAGTTCCTAGTTCTTTTTTCTTTTAAAAATTTATTTTCTCCTCTCTTCCTTCCTTCCTTTTCTCCCTCCTTGCTTTCTTTCTTTAATTTGAATATATGTTTTAATATATATGTTTTAATTTGAATTTATGTTTTCTTTTAAGCTCCCTCAAATCTTTCTGTCAAATTAAGAGATAAATGTAAAATTAAATATTAGCTATTTTTTAAATTTTACTTTAACACAAGCCATAATGTCAAAATATATGCCATCAATACAATGTAAATTACCTTCTCAATTTCCTTAGAATCAGATTATCAATTATTTTCCCAGAATTCAGATCATACAAAATCTAATATCATTTTTCCAATCAAAGAAACATATTCCTTTTTTTTCTTATCTGAGAAAAATGTCATTTTTATCAACAAATACAACTGTTCTTATTGTAGCTACCAAGTATAATCATCTGCCGTTTTTGCCTCTATAAAAAGGGACAGCCTGAAGGAATTAGAAGTTCAAATACTTACACACTGACAGATGTGAAACGCAATGCAACAGGAGACTATAAATGCTCCCTGGTAGACAAAAAAAGCATGATTGCTTCAGCAGCCATCACAGTTCACTGTAAGTCAATTTATTCTTCTTTACTAACTTCACTTGAAAGGCCTTTTCTCAGAGTCTTAACTCTGCTGTCTTTTCAAATAAATTGCACTCTATTTTTCTTAAATAATATGATTTCAATAGATGTACTAGAGACCATCAGAGTGAACCCAAATTTGGTCCTGCCATTACAGTGGTAACATCTGCACATCTGATGTTACCCTTTGCCCTACAATATTAGATTTGCCCTACAGTGTTAAAATCTTGAACGGATCTAATAATTGTAACTGTTGGGAGTGATAAACCTCTGTCTTCTATCTAAATGTCTTCAATTTGTGGTATTAACAAAATATTCATGTGCATCTTTTTTGTAATATTCTTTGGCATTGCTCTCTTTGGAATTGGAATGAAAACTGACCTTTTCCAGTCCTGTGGCCACTACTGAGCTTTCCAAATTTGCTGACATGTTGAGTGCAGCACTTTAATAGCATTATCTTTTAAGATTTGAAATAGCTCAGCTGTTATTCCATCACCTCCACTAGCTTTGTTTGGAGCAATGCTTCATAAGGTCCACTTGACTTCACTTCAGGATGTTTGGCTCTAGCTGAATGATACCACACCATTGTGGTTATCCCAGTCATTAAGAACTTTTTTGTATAGTTCTTATGTGTAAGTTCAAACTTCCACACAGCTGTGCTCATTTCAAATGATTCTGCTCAGTATCCTTCAATAAAGGCATCAGCAGTGTGTGAACTGAGAACTTACAGGTTTACAAGCTGATCTTAGAAAAGGCAGAGGAACCAGATATCAAGTTGCCAGCATTCGTTGGATCATAGAGAAAACAAGGGAATTCCAGAAAAAGCATCTACTTCTGCTTCACTGACTATGCTAAAGCCTTTGACTGCGTAGATCACAACAAACTGTGAAAAATTCTTAAAGAGATGGGAATACCAGACTACTTTACCTGCCTGCTGAGAAACCTGTATGCAGGTCAAGAAGCAACACTTAGACCTGGACATAAAACAATGAACTGGTTCCCAACTGGGAAAGGAATACATCAAGGCTGTATATTGTCACCCTGCTTATTTAACTTATATGCAGAGTACATCATGCAAAAGGCTGCACTGGGTGAATCACAAGCTGGAATCAAGATTGCTGGGAGAAATATCAACAACCTCAGATACGCAGATGTTACCACTCTGATGGCAGAAAGTGAGGAAGAACTAAAAAGCCTCTTGATGAAAGTGAAACAGGAGAGTGAAAAAGCTGGCTTAAAACTCAACATTCAAAAAATGAAAATCATGGCACCCAGTCCTATCACTTCATGGCAAATAGATGGGGAAACAATGGAAACAGTGACAGACTTTATTTCTTGGACTACAAATCACCTCAGATGGTGACTGCAGCCATGAAATTAAAAGATGCTGGCTCCTTGGAAGAAAAGCTTTGACAAACCTAGACAGCCTACTAAAAAGCAGAAACGTTACTTTGCAGACAAAGGTCTGTATAGTCAAAGCTATAGTTTTTCCAGTAGTCATATACGGATGTGAGAGTTGGACCATAAAAATGGCTGAGTGCCAAAGAATTGATTCTTTTGAATTGGGTTGCTTAAGAAGACTCTTGAGAGTCCCTTGGACTGCAAGGAGATCCAATCAGTCAAACCTAAAAGAAATCAACCCTGAATATTCATTGGAAGGACCAATGCTGAAGCTGAAGTTGCAATACTTTGGCCACCTGATGCAAAGATCCAACTCACTGGAAAAGACCCTGATGCTGGGAAAGATTGAAAGCAAAAGAAGGGTGCAGCAGAGCATGAGATGTTTAGATAGCATCACAACTCAATGGACATGAATCTGAGCAAACTCTGAGAGATAGTGAAGGACAGGGGAGCCTAGCATGCTGTAGTCCATGGGGTCGCAAAAAGTCAGATACCACTTATCAACTAAACAATAACAACAACACATACACCTTAAAGTAACAAATTGTTTTATATTTTAAGAAAATATTAGAGTATTCTTGAAGTTTAAAAGGTTTTCATTTGGCCTATAAAAGTATAGATTAAGTATCTTTTAATTTACAGAGTACTCTTAATCCCTCAACCCAAGCAACACAAAGTTGAATAGACTCAACTTTGGAGGAGGAGGTAAGATACCACCAAGAGTTTTTTAATGGTCTCTGTACAGAAGGACAGAAATTTTCTGGAAACATAACCAAAATCACCCTAAACATATTTTTTAACTCTTTTTTATATTCCAGGTGCTCCCAAAGTTACATTTATTCCAGTAGACTGAAAATAATAAATATATATAGAAAATAGACCTTTATTTCAATTCTTTTTTTTTGTAATTCCTGACTGTCTATATTACTGATGTACCCAGTGCGTTGTAGAAATGGGAAACTAATTTGAACTTCTCCCTGGTGACACTAGACTTCACAGCGTTCTTTGGGCAAATGTCAGTTTTACTTGGAGATATAGATCAAAATTTTTAATAAGTCCTTTGTACCCAACAACACCTCTAGCTGTGATCCATTACAGTAAGGTTTCTCTAGACATGATTCATTACAATCCCATTCATTATGAGTGTTTCTTTGTTTCAAACTGGAAAGAGATGTTAGAAACTGTTCTGAGAAAATGTTTCTAAATCTTTCACTTTACCCATAATGCTTGGGAAACATGTAGGAGAGGAGTTAAAACTCTGAAGGAGATGTAAGGCAGTACTCTGGGGAATAGAGGAACCAGACGGTTGCTTTTGAGTCTCATGTTGGGCGCACACCCTGGAGAGCATAGTGTTGAATATTAAGATTGAATATTAAGATTCACAACCAAGCTACTTCTCTGTTTGTTCATTTTCATGTTGAACAGATCAGAGTGTGTCTGGCATCGGGGGCAAGTTGGAGAGAAAGCAGCAACTTCTCATGATAACAACTGTGCTACTTTTTCTCTGAGAAGTATTCTGTCCTGGGATCATTTATCCAGTTTGCTCCATAGGGAAAAAGAAATGAAGTGAGGAAATATAACCAGTAGATAGAATTGCCTGTGGAATAACTTTCTGTAATCCTTGCTCATGAGATCTTTGGACCAGTAACCAATAATCCAGTGCTTAGAGATGGTACAGTGTGGTTATGTTTAAGAGATACTAGCTACTCAGAACCTAAAGAAAGAGAACTCTCATTTTATCACCTGGATATCAAGCAGAAAGGGAGAGAGAGCAGAAGGATTAGGCAAAAGGCTTGGCTGCAGCTGCATAATAACTCAGTGGTCAGCTGTGGTTTAAAACAAAAAAAAAAAGCATGCAACAGTTTAATTGAATTTCAGTGCAATTTAATTAGATTTGATTTAAATACATTTAGGTTTTGAAAGGTAGGCTCTAACACTGGGCTTTAAAGCCTATATTGCTCTTTAAAAGCTAAAGTAGTGAAGAAAGTGAAAGTTGCTCAGTCCTGTCGACTCTTTGGTACCCCATAGGCTATCCAGTCCATGGAATTGTCCAGGCTAGAATACTGGAGTGGGTAGCCATTCCCGTCTCCAGGGGATCTTCCCAACCCAGGATCGAACCCGGGTCTCCTGCATTGCAGGCAGATTCTTTACCAGCTGAGCCACCAGGGGAGCCCAAGAATACTAGAGTGGGTAGACTATCCGCCCTCCAGGGAATTCTCCCGGGGTCTCCTGCATTGTAGGTGGATTCTTTACCAGCTGAGCTAGCAACATTGCAAGTAAATAAAGATTTTACTCTAAATTACATGAAATGAACCATGGAAAAGGAAATGGCAACCCACTCCAGTATTCTTGCCTGGAAAATCCCACGGACAGAGGAGCCTGGAGGGCTACAGTCTATGGTGTCGCAAAGAGTCGGACACAACTGAGTGATTAACACTTTCACTTTCACATGAAATGAAAACATGAAAATCCTGTTTTAGCCTACTTATCCTAAATTGTTTCCAAAAGAGCAAGATATGTTTTCTTTTCATAGATGACTAAAGGGAGCGGATAGAGAAGTGCCCGCCAGCACTTGCGCATGATAGCAGAACAGACCTCTCATCAGGCTTTCAGTTCACAGAATCATAGTTGCTGAAGTACTAGTCCTCTGCCGATTCATTCACACATAGATTCTTCATCTGAGCTTTCAAAGTCCATCATCATTCTTTAAAATAACTTCTTCTGTCTTCTCCCTGGCAAGTTATCTGTCCAACTGATAAAAGCTTTAACTCGACCTGAATTGAATTTTCATCTAAATATAACTCAACAAAACAGTCTGAGGAAACTCCTTTTCTATGTGATGATGTATATTTTTATATTAATGAGAAATTGAGAAACATGCTTCTTCACTTTATTCAACAAGAGTTTTTGAAGGCCTACAATGTGGCAGGCACTGTGGATACAGAGTGACAACTCAGGGCATCACAATGTGTTATAATCACAATCAACAAATTGTGATTATAACATGAAAAACCAACGGGAAGGACAAGGTGGGCAAATCCCCACTGCCATAGGATAGAGTCCCAGGCAGCCTCCAAGGTGGTGCTAGTGGTAAAGAACATGGCTGCCAGTGCAGGAGACTTAAGAGACGTGGGTTCAGTCCCCGGGTAGGGAAGATTCCCTGGAGGAGGGCATGGCCACCCACTCCAGTATTCTGGCCTGGAGAATCCGATGGACACAGGAGGAGCCTAGCTGGCTACAGTCCATAATGTCGCACAGAGTTGAACACAACTGAAGCAACTTAGCACATACACACACAGTGACTCTAATAATGTCTAACAAGCTTTGTCATCTCTGAATGTTGATTGAACTAATGAATGAATACATCTAAATCACCAAATGAAATGGACTTCCCTGGTGGCTCAGATGGTAAAGAATCCACCTGCAATGCAGGAGACCCGAGTTCAATCCCTGGGTAGGGAAGAACCCTTGGAGAAGGGAATGGCTACCCAGTCCATAATTCTTGCCTGAAGAATTCCAAAGACAGAGGAGCCCGGCAGGTTACAGTCCATGGGGTTGCAAAGACTAGCACTTTCACTTCACTTAG